AAAGTAGACACTAAATTGATGGGTTATTAAATGCTACAGTATCAATTGCTGAGTTTGTCTGATATTGATAGTGGTGATAGTGTTTGAATAAGTGACGAATTGTTAGACAAGTGAGAACAAAAGTGGAATAAACTGTTTGGGTTTAGTTTTAATCATCGTAAAACCATTATGGAATATATTAGTCTTGAAAACAAGCCTGTCTAGTCACATGACTAACTGCATATCAGTTGTTACATTTTATAACAGTCCTGATCTCTTAGGTATTTAAACGTTTGGTTTTGTTTTTTATAGAATTGATACGTACCGAAATATTCTGTTTCTATGGGAAGGGAATTTATAATATCAAAGTTACTGTATTTATAAAACAAATATAGTCATCTTCCAAGCAATGATGTCTGAATACAATATTTCAACAATAATTTCTCAGGGTTTAAAATATTGTCAGAAGAATTCAGTGTCTTTTTAATAATTTCATTATGTAATCTGCTTATGTCAGTGTCTGAGCCTTATTTCAAGCATTTTTCAAGTAGAACAGTTGTTCAGACATATTCATACTCAAGATTGTCTTTAACCCTTATGTGGTTCTGTTCAGAAATTTCCATGTTCAGCATGGTGTACTAAATGGGCACTAAGAGTCTTTGAAATCTGTACTATTTTTATTAATTTAACTTATTTTTAATTAACTTCATTTCAATGTTAAACTGTATGCCATTAGGATTTATTATATTATTTAAAACAGTGTTTCGGTTGCAAAGGACAAGTAGTATGAAAATAGAGATGAGATTATGAATCATGGTGAGCAAGTAGTATTGGATGGAAACAGTTAGGGCCCGTTTCAGTATAGTATTCTGATATTCAGCAATATAGATGGAGGGAAGCCATTAAAACCACAATAAAGATAGCCAGCAGTTCCACCAAGTTTTAACCAGGTACCTTCTGAATACAAGTTTAGAGTGTTTTCAAATTAATTGTAAGCGACAGATTTAAAAATATATATAATTTTTTATGTGGAATATAGTGTTAGCATAGCAATAATGCTTAATTTACAGCTATTTTAATTTTTTTACAGTAACTGATTAAAATTTTTATTTAGGTAAATGAAATTTAATGTGGTGGTAGAGTATGGACATCTCAGTTGAGAGAGTAGCACTCCTACTTCATATTTTAGGGATCCAGGGTTCAAATCTCAGCCTGAAGACTGTATATCCTCACAGGCTTTTGTGGTTTTCCTCAATCCTCGCAGGCAGGTGGTGTGTGAATATACCTTAAAGTAGGTCACATACAGCTTCATTCTACACCCCTTTCAATTCATTGTTCACTAATCACCCTATCATTTGATGCTATACAGTCTAAGCAACTAAACAATTGAAAAAGCATCATAAAATAAACCATTGATATGACAGACCATAAATCTTTTATTTATTTATTTCATTTAATGTATGTTATAGAGTTCTGGTGTGAAACCTTGAACTTATGTTTGAAACGTTACAGTGAACACAAATTTGTATTGGCAGACATTTTTCACAGATCCAGATCACTGAGTAATGTAAATATTATCTTACAAAATTTTCACGTCATTTTATACAGACGAGAAAACACTTAAACAAAGGTCAGCTTCATAAGTTCATACAAACAACACCACCACCCAGAAAACCACTCTCGCCCCACAATTTGCGAACCTCTGGTATAGACCATTCCACGTTTACTACATGGATTCAATGTTTATCTTGTCATTGTCTAAACGTCATGTTTCATAACAAAGCTAGGTGACCTGCTTCGCCGTCTGTTGGCAAAGACATGAACTAACGTAAAGACAAGTGAACTGCAGCTCCATATATTACTGACCCTATCATTAGAGTTCCGATGTAACATGAAGGGGGCAGAGATGGTTCCAGAAACGTTGGTCTCTTCGTGTAAGCATCTGACGCTGCTGATTACCCAAGATGATGTTGTTTAGCTTAGTCTGCAGATGATGATGATGATGATGCGTGTTTTCTGTGGTCACACCATTTGTTAAATTTATGTAAAACAATGCAGCCCCTTTCGACTCCGGCCACATAAGTCGTTCACGAAAAACAAAGAAAGAAAACAAGTCCCCATTTTCCCCAGGTGTGTCGAAGCGTGTATATGCCGTATGACCTCTGCCTACCAGCCGCTGTGCTCGATCGTGTTCTACAGGCTGCATACAAAGTCCCGCAATCCCAGGGTAAAACATAATGTCATGGGTGAGCTTTCAGGTTCTCATGGCGGCTGGTATAAAGAAAACAGAACGTCCACCAGACTACACGGCGCAACATCCCAAAAGAGCCATCTTAATAATTTGCCATTTTATCGGTGTGGGCCCGCTCTTGGAAGTCTTTAAGAATTTCAGGCATGATCTTCCATTTACGCGGTCTTCTGGGTTATGATGATAAGAGGTCATCTATCAACGTCTGTGAGGAAGGCATCGTGTTCTTGTTTATAAAACAGCACTGCTATTCTTATAACGCTAGAAAAAGACACAGCCCCCCAAATACATCCATCCCGAAGCTGACGACTGCATTATTTGTCGAAGCGTTGGAATACCTTGAAAATACGACGCGGATTATTGTCTCTCGGCTTCGAGGGCGAAGTTAAACATTGTTGATAATACAGAAACATTTATTTGGGGTAGCGAGACTTTACATTCACCCTGTGCATTGTCATTCCTTCTGTTTTGCTAACCTTTGGTCCCTACCCCCTTTTTCCTTCCGCCCCCGTCAAGAACAAAAACGACTTTCAACCCCGTTCTTGTTAGACCGGTTTACCGTCATTTTTTTAGAGGTCTGGTTCTTCATTCTGCTCTTGGCACCGGTGCAGGCAACGCAGTTTCTGGTAAGTAAGGAAATGTTTCTCTTTTTCGTAGTGTTTTTTTTTTTGTTAAATGCTGCTAATACTTTACTATGGCCTCTATTTGTTAGTTTCGAGTAAATTATTTTCAACTCTAAAGACGTTTCAGTGTAGTCTTGTTTTATCATTATTTTTTAATACTGTTTGTGATTTTTATAACGTTTAGTTAATTATGCAATTAATGGTCTTAGAGCAACAGAGAGGTGTGTAGAAACATGCTGATTTAGAAGTAGTTGAGTAAAGAATGCAATCTATTCGTAGATTACCGCAATATTTTGAGTAATTATAAAATGCACTTCATTAAATCTGCATGTGGTTGGTGACGTTGCAAATACCCACTAGTAAATGAATATAGTTGTTTTAAGTTGGCGATTGTCGGAAATATGAAAGGGTATTGATCAAATTGCGGCAGAACTAATACAAACGTGAGGTAGAAATAAGCATTGAGCGATCACCTAAATTATAATTCGAATAAGAAATAATTGCTGTGTAGTGTAAATAGCATAATTTAATTGCATCTCTTTAAAAAGACGCGAATAAACTTGTGACTATCGAGTAATAAGACGTTTAACTATACAAAAAGATTATCGGTGGTCGTCAGCACGAATTTCGACGTAGTCGAAGTTAATCGTCTAATTAGGCGAGAGATTGTGTTGCAATGGGGCAGCTGGCGTAAGGAAATGCTGTAGTTCTGAGGAAACGTATTGTACAATATTTTCATGAAATGTGGTATCATCATCATCACGGGTTCTACAGCCTATTACAGACCTGGACCGCCCCATTTTTGGGTGATTCTCAACAGGATTACTTTTTCCAGGGTGGTGTTGTCAGCCCCACGCCCAACCCCCAACCTGGAGGGCCAAGTCCCCGAATTTATATCCCCTGGGGAGACCAATTATATCCCCTGGGGACAGGGTAGACCAGGTACCTCGGGAGTGCCGCTTCCCGTACTCACAAGATGTGAGCCCCTGAGGGTGAAATGTGGTATACCGTACCGATTAAACTTGTTAAAATGTCCCGAAAAATCAGAAGTTGCGTGATGAGTTTCCTATTCAGAATAGTCTGAGACTAGAACATGTTTCATTGCCACTGCTTTTAAATCTT